GAGAAAAAAGTCAGAATTCTGAGATTAAAGTCAGAATTCTGAGAAAAAAGTCAGAATTCTGAGATTAAAGTCAGAATTCTGAGATTAAAGACATTAAAGTCAGAATTCTGAGATTAAAGTCAGAATTCTGAGAAAAAAGACTTTAATGTGTATTTGCTTTGCTATCTAAAGACAACAGGTGCAACAGAGTAATTTCTGCAAATGCATTTACTGAATGTAAACACTTATTTTTTTTCTTAATTTCCTTTTTTAAATTTAAATAGTTTGGTGCAGTTTTCCTTTTTTAACTGTAGTTAAATAAGGAATGAATTGATCAGATAATGAATGAATCCATATTAGTTATATGTTTATATCTCCTACATTTATTTGCAGAATCCAAACGTGCAGAATCCAGAGTTCCCTCCTCCTTGGTGAGCATGTAACCACGGAGGACAGTTGCTCGCACTATTCCACTGACTTGGCAGCCTTTCCTCCCATTTTTATGTATTTAAGCAGGTTTCCATGTGTCAAATTCATGCAAGTGCTATAGTTTGCATTGGAAGGAAAAGTCTACAAATTATATGGATAAACTTTTCTGGACATTTTCATTTATCAGCTTTTACTTCAACTGCTCTAATAAAATGCAAGCAAGCCAAATTCCATTAAAGTTTAAAAACAATCCACTGGACTGGTTTCCAAGGTTTGAAGACGTTTCGCTTCCCCTCCAAGAAGCTTTTTCAATTCAAATACTTTACTGTATTTTATGACTTTTCACAAATATGAAACCTGAAGCGGACTAGGCCACCGTTCACACTGCAGGTAAATGTGGCCCAATTCTGATTCTATTGTGGTGAAGCGATCAGGTCAGACTGTTTTAGAACAACCGTTGACGCCCCTCAGACCCGTAACTGACTTATTCACTTCACATATGAGCCACATTCATATGTGGTCCTGAATCTGACTCATTTCTGTTTTTGTTTTTTTTTATTATTTAGAATGTGATTTTAGTGTGAACGAGCAATGTCAATTAGGTGACACTTCACTGGAAAAAAAATCGAAATCTGGATAAATCCTTTTTTTCTTAAAATAAGTGTATTTGTTTTTGGATTGAGGAGGTAAAAGAGCCAATGAATGAAGAAAATTTACATTTAAAATAATAAAACACAATTGATTTTGTGTTATTTTAAGTGCACTTTATCTAATCATCTTATTTTAAGAGTAAAAATACTCATTCCATTGGCAACCATCTAATTTACCTACTCATATTAAGGGTAAATACACTTTATTTAAGACATTTTTTCTTATTTCTAGATAATTCTTTTAGTGTTTGGAGCCACTTTCCATCAAATTTGTCACAGTTTTGTGCCGCCCAGCAGGAAGTTAGTTCCAGTTAGCAAAACAGACAGAAGCTGGGATACTAACACTGTAAAAACTGAGGGAAAAATGGTTAAAATTTTTCTGAAAAAAAGTAACTTCCCTTCATTTAAGCAGGTAGATAAGATAATCTGCCAATGGGATTGTTATTTTTGCCCTTACACTGCAAAAAATGGCAATCTGTATGAGTTATATTTGCTTAAATTGAGTGAATTTTGTCTTGTTTTGAGGAGATAAGTGAGACACCTTGCCAATGCAACAAGACAATTTACATTTAAAATAAGAAAAAAACAATTGCTTTGTCTTATTTCAAGTGAATATTATCTAATAGTCTTATTTTAGGAGTAGAAATACTGATTACATTGGCAAATCGTCTTATTTACCTACTAAAATTAAGGGTAAATACACTTATTTTAAGAAATGTTGTACTTATTTCTAGATGGTTTTTGCAGTGTAAAAGTTAGATTATTAGATATCATCTACTTGAAAAGGATCAGGATTTTTTTCTTATCTTAAATGTAAATCATCTTAATCCATTGGCAGATTCTCTTACCTGCTCAAATCAAGGAAAAATAAGCTTGTGTAAAGGAAAATTGACTTTTTTCAGTTTTTGCTGTGTTGTACAGAGATGACATCAAGATCTAGAGGTTGTCAATAAACAGTTAAAAATGTAAATGCTTTTAGGAACCATCAGGGTATGGGAAATATTCCGTACATGACCCTTTAAATAGAAATAGAGGAGCAGGTGATGATCTGCCTCTGCACTGCAAAAAGAAATAAGAAATAACTCTTAAATTAGGTGTATTTACCCTCAATTGGCACATCATCAATAAGATGATGTGCCAATTGAAGGAGTACTTTTACTCTTAAAATTTAATTATTTGAAAACATGCACTTTAAATAAATAAATAACTTAAAACATAGTCTTGTTCCAATGGCAAAGTGTCTCCCTTACCTCCTCAATTCAAGACAAAATACACTTATTTTAATAAAAGGGTTAGACTTATTTAGATTTAATTTTTTTCCAGTGTGTACGATGAGCTTCCCAAACCTTTCAGCTTCTGATCCACATAATTGTACCAGTGACCCGACCCGTTGGTTGAGCATGCAAACATCCCTTCAAAATCGTTGAACCAAACAAAATAGTTGTTTTTATCCATTTGTAAATAATGTTTTGATGAACTTAAAAAGAAGTATTGATCATTATAATTTCTGTTATGGATCTGTTGATGAGCCCAACTCCGGGAACCAATGGTTGAATACATCAGATGACATCAAGTAGAGCTGAGAGGAGAGACACTAAAAAGTTGTCCTTGACATGATAAAGTTCTGAATAACACCCCCAACGCTAACTCTTCTTGTGCTGAAACAGGATCAGGTTTCCCATAAAACACCATAATAGAGAGTTTTATTCTCATTTATTTAACCTGTGAAGCAATAAACGGCTGCTTAAAAGATGAGATCTCCATTCCGAAAAAGTTTAAAAACAATCCACTGGACTTTGTTTCCAAGTTGGAAGACGTTTCGATTCCCATCCAGGAAGCTTTTTCAATTCAAATGTCAGAAAAAGCGTTAAGTTGCTTTATACAGTAGCCCAACAAAGCCTTGTTTTGCTAACCCGACTCCCCCAGATGGATTTGCTCCGCATATCCATCTGGAAACCTTCCGTTGAAGTAATTTTGGGAAGGGGCGAAAATACTGGTTAGCT